GACGTTGGCTATCCTCATACCAACATTGGCTATCCTCATACCGACGTTGGCTATCCTCATAGCGACCTTGGCTATCCTCATACAGACGTCAGCTATCCTCATACCGACATTGGCTATCCTCATACCATCGACAAAGTGCTAGATGCGTTGCTCTCCTACATGCCCTCCAAGGCCTGTAACAAAGATGGGCCATTTGCTACTAATCTTTCCTCTTCCACATTCCCTACAGTGTTAGTTTCTTATCTATAGTTTACTTCACATGATTAGTAAGTTAACCTAAACCACAATGCTAGCAATTTAAGGTGGATCTACAGTTGGCTTCACAAAGGTCCTTTTGTTAACCCTTTAGCCTCCCTTCAGCCCTGACGGCAGCCTCCCGCACGTGTATGCTTTGCATGCATTTGTTAGGAGCAGGATGCATACGGTTGACCGGTCAAGCGTGGCGAGCCATGGCCCATCGGGTCACGCTAGCTCAGAGAACACGGTAACCAGATGGGAAGCGAGGGTGAGCGCGGGATCACCCGGCTCCGCTGGCCGAGCTCGCCACGTCCCTTGGGGACCGGGGACCTGTGCTCGGCCTCTCTGCCATTGGCACTCACTCCCAGAAACAGCTGTCCAGAGCTAATTTATTTCCTAATGCTGCAGCAATGTTAATTTATAAATTACACTGGTAATTCGAGCTATTATTAATTTCAGATGGTGTAGGGCAAGCCTAATTAAAATATGACACCAATTGCCACACATATGTACCAAGGACTACCGTTTAAAATTTATAGGAATATTAAGTGTGACACTGGTCTCGGAGATGCTTCGCACAGTAATTACAGCGTCTCGGCTGCAGGAGATCCGATGGGGAGATGTAAAGGAAAGGAAGGGAGAAGTTATCCCCGTTCGGGGGCTATCGAAAACCCACCCGTGCCATTTGTTCGGGGGCGAGCGGCATTTCTCAGGGACATTTAGTGGCTGGGTCCTAATTGCTGGGTTTCTTTCTTGAGCTCTGCATTTGTTGGAACACCGCGATCTCCGTCAGCCTGGAGACCATGGCGGCCCAACACCTGCGTCCCACCAGCCGAGCGCCACGCGTTTCCGGGAGCACTTCAAGGCCAGACGGGCTCTCGGAAGGAAGGGGGGGGCTGGAAGAGGCCAGACAAAAAGAAAAGCTGCCAATCTCATCTGCCGGGCTTTGAGCAGAAGCAGGAGCTGCGGTGCAGCCCAGGGAAGGGGGGCGGGGGAGAGGGGTGCGAGCGCAGCCCCCCATGGGTACTGCCGAAATGAGCCCGGAGCAGCCCAGGGACAAAGCGATTCTGCTGAAGGGGGAGGTGTTGGCACAGTAATGGGGATAGACTGGCTGTGAATCATCTGAAGCTGATAAATCAGAGAGGGGTGTCTGTGTAGAGCTGGGCGAGTCCGGCAGCGCCTCCCAGCAGGAGGGTGGGGTGGGATGCTCAGGTGCCAAGGGGAGATGATTTCAGGTTATTCTAGCAGGGTGTGGGTCTGGCGAGGACCACTTTGCCCATCCTGCGCATGTTGGGGACGTTTACCTCCAGCAAGGGATGCACGTGGGGGCACCGGGGCCACCGCAGAGGTCCAGCACTTGCAGACACATTTCTGGCAGGGTTTTTTTTTGGGGTGGTGGAACAGAGGTGCGTGGGCATGCCAGGAACCAGGACTTGTGGGGCGGGCATCCTAGAGCGGTGTGACCCGGTCGCAGGTGGTGACCGGGCAGTGGGCACGGGTTTGCCGTGCCTCCCCATCGCTCACAGCCCTCTCCCTCTGCCCCTGCAGCCGTGGGCTTCATCAGCGAGGATGAGTACCTGGAGATCACGGGCATCACGCGGGAGCAGTCGGGCGAGTACGAGTGCAGCGCCTCCAACGACGTGGCAGCGCCCGTCGTCCAGCGGGTCAAGGTCACCGTCAACTGTGAGTAGCCGGGGGGCTGTTGGGGACTGGGGACAGAGTGCGACACTGTGCCACCCCACGAGGGGATGGGCCTTCGGCGGTGGGAAGCAGGGAAAATCCATCCTGTGAGCCAAGACAGGCAGTGGTAGTTTTCTCAGCAGGTGGTGTTTTGCCCTTTTTTTCCCCCTTCTTTTCGAGCTCCATTTTTTTCCACCACCTCCTCCTCAGCTGTCTCCATCAACCTGGGTTTTCCGCCCATGGTGAGATGCTGTGCTGATAACCTCCAGGGAGAGGAGAGAAGTGAGCAGTAAATAGGTGGGTTTGTTTTTTTTTTTTTCCTTTAGAAAAAAATGCAAGAGAGAAAGAAAGAGGGTGAGGAAGAAATCAGCACCATTTGTGCTCAGAGGCAGAGGTGAAGGCCCTCCTAAACTCCTCTCTGACCACCCCCTCAGCTGCAGGGGGATGGCACAGGGTTGCACGTGGTTCCCAAGGGTCGTGGGGCTCCGGTCCCTGGAGAAACCCGTCCTAGGCTGCGGTGTGGGGTCCCCCATCTGCCCCAAACCCCATGGACAGCAGCAGGAGAGCGGCAGGAACTATGCACGGGTGCAGAGATGATTTCCACCCCTTCCTAAATGCAGGGAAAGAAAAAGGAGCTTGAGGAGCAAGGGGAGAGGGTGGGAGGTCCGGGGCTGCCAGGCACTGAACCCAGGCTCCCATCTTCCCCGCAGACCCGCCGTACATCTCGGACGCGAAGAGCACCGGGGTGCCAGTGGGGCAGAAGGGCGTCCTGCTGTGTGAAGCCTCCGCCGTCCCCTCCGCTGACTTCCAGTGGTACAAAGACGACAAGCGGTAAGAGCCCGGGGGGCAAAAGGGGGGCGGGGGGGGCACACACCGACCCCATGCAGGCTG